CCTCGAGTCCAAGAAGGGGGACGTGGACATAGAAGAGATCCCGTCCCTGCCCTCAGGCAGCTTACAATACAGTTGGACGGATTTTCATCCCATGGGAATATCCCCCCATCAAAACTCCTCATCCGCAATGCCCGGTGAAATCACCACTGGCACTTTTTCAAAACGACCTGAGTGTAACAATCATTTCCATGCTTCTCTGGAGACGGTTAAATTCAAACTGCATGATAAGAGAGGGATGTGGCTCAGTGCCCAGCATGTGCAAGGCGCTGAGTTCAATTCTCCAACACGGCCAAACATAAATAATCTGATAAAGATTCTAGACTCTCCCAGGCCCGCGTTGCCTCCCTAACAGCAAGGTGCCGCAACAACCCTTCCCTTAGGGGCCACCGTCACGGCGCCACTCCTGCTTCTCCAGCCTCCACCCCCAAACCTAGCAACTTCTACTTCTGTGTTTCCACCTGTCAGTGACATTCTTCTTGAGCCACCTTCACTGCCCTCAAACTCATTCTGAAGTCACACTTACCATAAGACATCTCTCAAACTGTCACCCTCTTCAGACATCACTATCCCTGTCCATGATACCCTCCTCTCATCATCCCTTGGATGCGTCTCCTGCATTGTTCAACTGTCAAGTTCTGGGCAAAGCAGAGTCATGTGCACATGGTGGGTGTTCAATGTTTGCTTGCAGATTGAATGTGTATGTTCCGGTAGCCTCACGGTCTACTACCAACTGTGGCTACAGCCCTGGTGGTCGAAAGGATGGCTTTGGGAACAGGTGGGTCAGAAATCCAATAACCCAAAATTGAGTATCAAAGACCACAGACTAGTAACAGCTGTGTAGCATATGATGCCTGAGGCCCCTGCCACTTTCACCAAAGCCTGCTGCTCTCTTTCCCCCAGCAGCCCCAGGACGTAAGAGCCCGCCGCCAGTGCCACAGGGAGCCAGAGTGGGCACTCCCAGGGACTGGTGGGCCACAAGATGGGCAGCCCTTAACTAATGATTGGCAGATGTGATGCGACTACTCCCTGACCCTAATGGGGTAGCTCTGATGTGAAACCCACAGAGCCCCACACTCACCTGGGCTGAAGGCCTCACTTGGCATCTTCCTCGTCCCGGTCCATCTTCCTTAGAAAAACCTCACCATCACCACCAAAAAAAAAAAGTCTTTCACACCAGGCCGCTCATCTCTTGCCCTGCCCCGGGGAGCAGGGTTGGAGGAGCACAGTCTAAGGCAAGGTGGATGAGGCTTCTGCCCACACCTGCCTAACCATGCTGTGCTTGAGATGTGCTTGCAATCACTGTGCTCCGCTCTTCGTTAATGTTACCGCCATTTAAAAAGTCAAATGACCATTGTAGTTCCAGGAACCTTGGAGACAAATCCATTCAAAACACTCTCCGCAGGCTTATTTCTTCTTCTTACTATAATTATATTGTCTCTGAAGTGAAAGAGCTTTGAACATCATAGCGAAATAAAATAAAAGACTCAAAGGGAGAAAAAGGGATTTTTTGAACTTGTCTTTATAATTGTCCTTTACCTGGGTTGATAATTAAACAGAAACTAAAATGAATTTGACCAGTTTAATGTTCTCTCTCTTAAACGTTTTTATGATACAAGTCATACAATGACGGTAGAGAAATCTGAAATCCGGGGTGGGGAAACATCTCAATACTCTAACCATTTACAAACTATTTTCTTGGTACTATGCCTCCCTGCTCTCTGCCCTTTACAAACTACTTCCTTCCAGCTGTTCCCGCGGCGTTTCGCCCAGGCACCTCTTGTTCAAACACTTGGCTCTCTGGTGTATTTTCCTGCAGCCTGGACCGTTCTCCATGCTGTAACACAGTCCTCGTGGTTGTCAACATCAGTGGCTGCACGTTGTCACACCGTGAGGATGTGCAATAGACTGTTAACATTTTGGTTGCTTTTGATATTTCACTATTTTAAATAAGACTGTGCTGAAGAAGCCACTTTGTTTTGCATCTATTCTTTCTCAATTTCAAGTATGTGTGTTTTGTTTTGTTTCTGGGCTGTGCTGGGGATCGGATGGAGCCATGGTCTTGCAAGTGCTGGACAAGCACTTCACCGCTGAGTAACATCCCAGCCCCCAGATGATATCTTTAAGAGAATTTTCAAGATTTGAATTATCAGGTAAAAGAATGCTTAAGCCTCTTTATGTTCACTGTGACATCTTCCCCCACCCCATCCCACCAAAATGCATACCAACTCACAACACAAGCTAGCTTGAAAACAAGATGATTCCAACTCAGGGTGGTTTCTCAGATTTTAAAATGAGTTCTATCTAACTAAAGGAATTTGTTTGAAGTTTCTTCATTTAGTGCAAAGGGTACAAGTCCTCTCTAGCATGACACTTAGACTGTAACTTTCTTGAAAACCATAAGGAACCTGATTGTGACATTCCAGGTCCTCAAGTACACACAGCTCTCTTCCTAATTCCAAATTTTCTAATTGCTGAGAATTTTATTTAGAAATTAGTCAGGGGACTTGAAGTGCTTAATTGATTCAGTTATTTTACTGGACAATGAACACAAAAATTTCAAAGGCTGTCATGTGCTCCTAGATTGGGTATGGGTTTCATTGGGTATGGTGCTACGTGTTCTAAAGCACAGGATGAAAAAATGTTGACAAGATAAGCAAGCAAGAGTGGATTCCTATTTTCTCAGTTGCCCTAAAGTTGGCCTGAGTTTGTCATAAGATTAAATTTTTCCATTTTTGAACCATGGAAGCGGTATCCCAAATGGGATTCCCCAGGAATGATTGGACCTGTAGGAAAGACACACCTTGAGTGGCAACCATGGCATTGCTAGTTGTTTTGAAGCATGCTTAATTGTTCTGTCTTCTTCCATGCAACTGGAAAAGCACAAACAATAAATTTGACCTGGAATTATTTGGGTGCCCACTATTCTACATAGAACAGAACTGTACTCCAGCTCCCCCTCCCCCACCACCCATTGGCCATCTGAGATTCTAGTGATAAAGTGAAAGACCCAACAGCCTCCCAGACACAGACCCCCTGGTGAGACCAGAGTCCTGTAGATAAATGTCCCATGGATTGGCTGAATTGCCTACTTTTGACTTTTCTTCCCTTAATCTAAAGAAGCTCGTCTTCTGTTACACTTCAAAACTCCAACAAGAACCAACTTGCATTTCATGAGAGAATTTTGTCATTGGGTTAAAGTAAAAAGCGAAACAAAAAAACGTCACTTTAGAATCTGTTTCTCAATGACTGTCACCCCACTGACTTTCTTTAACCACAACCAATGCCGGCCTCCACCCCAGCAGGGCACAGGAGGGGGTGATCACCTCCCAGCACCTCCCAGAGATTCTGCAGCTGATGGCCTTTCTGCATCTTGCCAGAACTTCCTGGGTTAGGACAACTCTGGGTAATCCTAAACAAAGCTCTATCCAAGCTACAACTTTGCGACCAAACAAGCCAGTTTTATAAGTCAAAGGAATTTAATTTGGTCTCACACTTGCAGTGAAATAAAACACAAAAGAAGAGAAAAGCTGGCAGCTTTGCTAATGAGCAGCTAGCTTTCTGGACACACTGCCAACTTAGTCTAATTAAATAGCATTAGCAGTCTAATGACACACTTAAAGAGGAAAAGTTCAGACAGGATGCAGGGTTCTTGACAGCAGCAGGGCAAACCTCAAAGTCTCCTGCACAGGTGAGTCCCCAGAGACACAGCAAGGTACAGGGGAGCCTGGCTCTGCAAGCTTTCCTAGGGAAGAAGACCAGGCACAGAACCTAAAGAAGTCCAAGTGCAAGGAAACCTGAAATATTGCAGTTTTGAATTTATTAATTCTTATTCCTGAAAAACTAACAAAAATATTGGTAAAGTGACTTCACCTTCACTTTCTCTCTTACCACCAGCCCCTTCCAGTTCACCTCCTGAAGAAAGTGCACCAAAAATGTATGGGAACCACAGATAAAATTGGCACATTACGTGCATGTATGAATATACGCCAGTGAATTCTACTTTGATGTCTGTCTATAGTGCACCAATTTTAAATACAACAAATTAATAGAAGGAAGACCAATAAAGTAGAGAAAGAGGACCAAGGGAAGGGAAAGGCTAAGTACTGGAAATTGAAATGGAGCAAATTATATGACATGCTTGTATGAATATGTCAAAATGTACCCTACTATTACATGTAACTATAATGCAGCAAGAAAAATATGCAAAAAGGAAAGAAAGAAAGAAAGAAAGAAAAACACTTGGGTCTGTGCTCTGATTTAGTCCATGCCAAATATATTACACTTAAGCCAAATTTGACAAAGTCCTGCAAAGGCAGTGCCTCCACTTACCTGTCACCAGGACGGCCTTTTGATCCACAGGTAACAACTCTTGGCTCGGTGAGCGCACATACAAGAGGAAACATGACAGGGAGAAAAGAAACAAGATCCAGAAGAGGGACAGTCTGAGCAGGCAAATCCCTCCCCAGAGGGCTGCGAGGCAGACCGCTTGGCTTCCCAGCTGCCCAGGGCTCTTGTATTTGCAAAGAGCTATGCCTCCCACACCTGCAGTGACAGCCAGGCACAGCCACACCGCCTCTGAGAAAGGCATGCTCATTCTCCACGACTCACTTCACTTTCACACACTCAGGGACAGCAAGCCTAGTGGGCAAAGGCTAGCAGGAGGCAGCTGGGGTTATATGAATGGAGAGGAGAGAAAGGGGGCGGACACAGGCCCAGCACCCTTTGAATGAGCATGGATTAAGTGTAATCACCCAGACACATATTCCCACTGGCTAATTTAAACCTGTGTGCATTGCAATATAAATACCAGGGCCCTTCCTCTTTGATCAGGCCCCCCTCCCGCCCTTCTGTGCACACAAAACACACACACACCCCACGCTCTCCCAGAGACAAACATGCACATTTGATTATTTTAATGATGGTTCCACCTCTGGAAAGATGATTAGTTGGATAATAATTGACAGACTTGGAACCAAACAGAAACTAACAAGCCCTCCGGTTCACAGGGGCATAGTCTCTTATCCTTTGAGAGCTCACAGTGAGTCAGTCTCCGAGTCCTTTTTCTGACTCAGGAGCGTGTACGTGTGTATGTGCGCGCAGCGCGTGTGTGTGTAAACCCAAGCAGTCAGTGAGATTTGGAAGGTGGATCGTGGTCGGGGGAGGCAACCCTGATCTGGCCCATGTCCACGGGACTCCTGCCTCTGATAACTCAAGAGGCTTCAGGGCTGGACGGAGGAGAGGGGATCCAGAGGAAGAGAGTCCTCAGTCTTACCAGAGGAGAGATATGCCAGGGAGAAATGAGAACAATGACAACAGAACTGAGCACAATCAGCACTGGTGCTTCATTGTGACAGGGCTGTGTTCAGCTACTCTGTGGTGAGCCGCTTCTGCCGTTTCTGCAGACTATGGTCGCCATTACAAGATGGCGCTGGCTCCGCTGTGGTCTGTGACAAACAACTCCTTATTTGGGAGAGTTGGCGCATGGTTTTTCACCACCCTATGAGAAAGCTCCACGTGGCAGCTTCACATTGGGGCTTGAGATGCTTTATTAAGGCTGGGAGGGGCATCCGAGAAGGAGAAGAAGAAATATCAAGGGCCTGAATAAACTGCTGAAAGAAGATTCCTGAGTTGCGTCTTCCTTGCGGGCAAGGGGTCGCGACAAGTGGTGCCGAGACCCGGGAACCAGAACTTTCAGCAGTCAGGGGTGGTGCACCGGTTAGTCCCAGGTAAGTGGGATCCGCGATCAAAGCGGGGTTAGTCCCAGGTAAGTGGGATCCGCGACCAAAGCGGGGCAGCTCCTCTGTAAAGAAAGAGACAGCATTACATTTTATTGCAGCTGCACTGTGTACTTTCGCTTTTGTTTTCTGTGTTTCTTTTGTTGTGTCATTTCGCTTTTGTTTTTTGTGCTTCTTTTGTTGTGATGACAGGGACGCTCCCCTGTAAAAGGAAGAGAGCGGGGAATGCATAGAACAGAACGCTCCCCTGTAAAAGGAAGAGAGCGGGGACTTTTGTACTTTCACTTTCTTTATAGCTCTAAAAACATTATGGGCGTTGCTTCTTCAAGCCCAATTTTGTTGGCCCTAGATGTGTTGTTACATTCAAAAGGACTTAAGATAAAGCAGAGTACTTTGCAGATGTTTTTAAGAGAAGCTGATATAGCGGCTCCTTGGTTTGCTTTTTCAGGGAGTCTTACGGTTCCCAGCTGGGACAAATTAGGGAAAGATCTAGATTTCGCTCATGAGCAAGGTACCTTGCAGGGTGGCGTTATACCACTTTGGAAGTTAGTTAGAGGATGTATAACAGATGGTAAATGCCAGGAAGCTGTGAGTGAGGGTCAAGCTATTCTTGAGCAACTGCATGAGGAAAAATCTGAAGGATCATGTAGTGAAGTGGCAGAGAGTATTAAAAGTAACAGTAGTGAGAAGGCAAAAGAGCCTGAAGATAAAAATAGGAGAAGGCTCTACCCAGACTTGACCGAATTAAAAACGCCTGAGAACACAAGCGACTCAGAGAGTTCTGAGGACCTTGATATATTGTTACAACAACTACATAAGATAAAAATGAAAAAGAAGAAAAAGGAGACACAGGGCACACAGGCCTACTGTAAGAAGGGGAAGGGAGTTAACATCGGTCAACAAAACTCTGAGGAGGAGGAGGTAGAATATCTAGAAGAAGATATGGTGCCGATTGCCCCACCTCCGTATGTCGGGGGGAGCCAAGGTTCCGGGAGATCTTTTCATGCACAAGTTTGGAGGACAGTTAATACAGATATGGGACTTGCATACCCTGTATTTCAGGACAATAACAGGGGAAGATATCATGAGCCTTTAGACTTTAAGATAATTAAAACCTTGGCAGAATCTGTCCGCCCTTATGGCATAGATGCCGTTTTCACTCTCACTCAGGTGGAGGGACTTACTAGATTTTGCATGACTCCCTCAGATTGGGCTAGTCTAGTCCGCGCTTGTGTTTCCCCAGGGAAATATTAGGAGTCCAAAGTTGGCTGTTTAATGTTTCTGGCAGTACCCAAGACTTGGAGCGAGGTAGGAGGCTTAAAATTTCTGCAAATAATTCACAATTATCTAATGCTACATTACCCTCCGCAGCAGTCTGTCTCCAATCTCCGTTCCTGTTTCTTTTGGCTAATGATACATTACAGGGGATGCTTAATTGCTCTAATATTACCTGTTATTTGTCTGAGTGTTGGAATGGATCCTGGCCTATGGCAGTGGTTATGAAAATTCCAACTTTTGTCCCGATCCCGGTTACTGCAGATCCAGAGTCATTTCCTATTGTTGAACTGATTAGAGCCCATAGAGATTTTGGAATTACGGCAGCTATAGTGACAGCTGTGGCGGTATCTGCTGCTGCAGCAGTTACAGCTGGAGTAGCCATGGCCAGCCAGGTTCAAACTGCTGCCACTATTAATCAGGTTATTCAACAAACATCCACCATACTTGAATCTCAAAGTAGAATTAATCAACACATTTTATCTGGGATTCTGGCTGCTAATCAAAGGATAGATCTACTTCAAGCTCAAGTTGAGGAATTGTCTGATCTAGTACATTTGGGTTGTATTGATCAACGTGCACATTTATGTATAACCTCTGTCAGATTTTATGATTCCAGAAATGCCTCCCACATCATCGGGGAGTATCTATCCGGAACCTGGTCCATGGAAGCAGAAAACTTGATCCAGTCTCAACTAACTCAGATTGCTGTTTTGAACAGTACCCGTGTCGATCCCGTGACTTTGGGTCAGTTCACCGATTGGATATCTTCTGCTTTTTCCTTCTTCAAAGAGTGGGTGGGGGTAGGCATTTTTGGTGCAATGTGTTGCTTCGGTATGTTCCTCTGTTTGTGGTTTCTCTGTCGCCTTAAGGCCCGCAGTGCTCACGATAAGGCTATGATCATACAAGCTCTTGCAGCTTTAGAAAATGGCAACTCACCTCAAGTCTGGCTTGCGCATCTTAAACAGTAAACCTTTGACATGGTCGTTACACCCCAAGTTATTATAACATTGCACTGGGATCGACATGACTTTCCTTGTTATTCTCTTAGTGTTGGAAAGTCCTTGCACTCTGCCGGTCTTACTGCCATTGCACGCAGATGGGTTTCCACACTAGTGCTTTTCTATCGCCTTAAAGTCCGTGCCTTTCTTTCAGGGTGCTGTCAACTTGTTTGTCGTTATAAACAGCCACAGTTCAGCCTCAGCTATCCCCCTTCGTCCACCATCGTCACGATACAGGATGCGAGGCAAGGCACTGCACTTGAGTGATCCTTGACGTGGACCTCAAGGAGAGCATGTCCTATTGCATGCGGGTTCGACGCGTCCACGCCCCGCCCCACGAAAAAAGGCGTCGGCTGATATGGCCTCAGATCTGGGGAAGGGCCCTCCTTAGGACTGAGCCATACTATGCAGCCACTTCTGCACAGTGGGATAGGACCTCTACTCTCGCCTGTATTGTTTTAAGAAAACAGAAAGGGGGAACTGTGGTGAGCCGCTTCTGCCGTTTCTGCAGATTATGGTCGCCATTACAAGATGACGCTGGCTCCGCTGTGGTCTGTGACAAACAACTCCTTATCTGGGAGAGTTGGCACATGATTTTTCACCACCCTGTGAGAAAGCTCCACGCGGCAGCTTTGCATTGGGGCTTGGGATGCTTTATTAAGGCTGGGAGGGGCATCCGAGAAGGAGAAGAAGAAATATCAAGGGCTTGAATAAACTGCTGAAAGAAGATTCCTGAGTTGCGTCTTCCTTGCGAGCAAGGGGTCGTGACACTACTCCACTCATTCATCCTCTTTATTGAGAGGCTCCTATGCCACGCTCTGTTCCCGGCAGGAGGGCTCAACAGTCAACATGCTCAGTCTCTCTGAATACAAAAGCCTTATAACAGATTCTGTTATTGTAGTAGTTTTGGAAGAAGCTAGAGCACAGAGAGATCAAGAGATATACCCAAGATCACACAGCCTCGGAGCCAATCAGCCTCATCTCAGCACTTTAAAGCCTTAACTATTCCACTGCCCACTTTGGGTTAGAAATGGAACATAATCAGCAGGTTCACAAGCTTGCTCTTTCCTGCTGCTGCCTCATCTGCACTTTAGGAAATACTTTAAGGTAGAAATCAACACACTGTTTTTAAAAGAGAAAATTCAGTCTGGAGAGGCTAAGCCACACTGAGCCCAAGACTGGTGAATCCAGACCCATATCCACATTTCAACAGCTCAAAAGGCATGATGTGGCTGCCGCTCCATGCAGGTCACAGCGCAAGGCTGATGGCCCCAGGGGGAGCTGCTCCCCTGGACAAGGTGGGCCTTGACCTTGCCACTTTCCTGGGAAGGGTTTAGAATTCTAATAAAGTCCTGGTGTTGGGGGAGCCTGAGAGACAGAAGAGCTCGCACTCGGAGTTCAGATTGCCAGAATGAAAAGCCAGACCTCGCTCCCGGCTCATTAACCAGGTAGTCTCGTGGGGGTCACTTCATCCTGTGGTCTCATTCTACCTGGAATACTAGAAAGAACCTCTCAAATGCTAGTGGTTTGCTTTTTACAAATAAGAAAAAAAAAATCAAGAGGAGGTCATGTAGTGTCCAGTAGAACACAGTGAATGGTCCTGACCATGGGCTCCTCCAGGAGTGGCGGGGAGAAGCCAGGTGCTGCGGCTGCCGTGGGGGAGGCAAGGTTGGCGCAGGGTCGAATCCAGCCGCACATGATGGGAGAAGACAGCTCAGAGGCCAGGTCGACCTGGCTTAGGCTACCTCCAGACCCAAGGGAGAGGGGTGGGAAGCAGCAGCCTGAGAGCTACACCTGCTGTGAGCTGTGTGATCTTAGAACCCTCGGGAGGTGGCAACTCACATCTGCCCTCCCAGCTTCATGGGTACCATGGTAGGAAGGTTTTGCCAACTCCAAGCCAGAAAGCTTCAGTCTAAGGATCTGGGATTCTCTTTGGCTAGCCTTGGACTCTCCCTCTCTCCCCCCACAGACCCCACTTCTGCTGTTGACTGTGCCACCGAGGGTCAGGGCACCTTTCACGGGTCTTGTGCCCTCACGAGCCAGGAGGATTCTGTTGTCAGATCCAATGAACAAATGCCTTCCCTCATGGACATGCCGGACAAGTCGCAGCCCTTTACAGGGGGCTTTGGCACTTTGTCAGCGACCCCCACATCTGGGCTGGGCCAAACATACCTGTGTAGGTCTTCTGACAGGTGCCCACCCACCTGAGACCAGGTGACTCTTCTCTGGGAGGCAGCCATGTGGCTCTCCGGCTGGAAGCCCAGTCCTACAGCAGCCCTCATGCGACGTGGAAGCCTAGGTGAGGGTGTCCCTGACCCTGCTGAGTTGGAAACCTGGCTCCACCACTTGCTGGCTGTGAGGCATTGGGCAAGTTAACTGCCCTCGCTGAGCCTCAGTTTCTCCATCTGTCAAAGTGGGGTGGAGAGAAGTCCTGCTCCCTGTGGTTGTTCACAAAGCAAACCACACAGTTCCTGCAGGGCTCCTGGCACAGACAGGCAGTCATCAAGGGAAGCCACTTTCCTCATTGTCAGCAGAGCTTAGAAGTTAAAAGAAGATGGAGTTAGAAGAAGCCAGTCTCTTCCCTAGTCACGAGTTCTCCATTCCATCCACCCCTCAGCTCATCCCCTTGGGTCCTTCAGACTTCCGCTTGATGTCACCTCTTCACCTCCCACCCGGAGCATCTTCTGTGCCCACACCTGATCCAGCTGCTTCGTGACACTTAGCCCAAAGTACAATTACGGACTCCATTAGTTCATTTAAGGAAAGCTCTCTGTCTCTTCTTCTAGACAGTGGACTTCCTGAGGGCGGGGACCTTGTCTCAATTGTCCTCATTGTTGTTTTCCCTCCGCTCTTCTCTTCTTGATGCCTCTCCTGGTGCCTGGTACACTTGGGTACCAAATCATAAGTGGCCTCAGGGAGGAGCGAGTCTCTACTGAGTGCCTTCTAGGTGTCTGGCTCCGCACCAGCCGGGGTGGAATTCAGTAGGGAACCATAGGGACCCAGCTCCTGACCTGCAGAGCCAATGACCAGAGCTCTCGGGAGGCTGCCGTGGTGGGGTGAAAAGGAAGGCTCTCTACCAACTGGGGGTCAGGTGGAATTGCAGCATTTCCAGGCTGACAACTCTCCCGACCCCTTCTGAGCCCTGAATTCCTCGTCCATCTGAGAGCTGCTCTGGTCTGGATGAAGACTCCTCCACCCAGCTGGTGGAAGCCTGTCTTCTTTTTGTCCCCATCATTTTGTCCTGGAGCTAGATCCTCAAGGACATCCGTGCTTGGCTGGTGCCCTGTGCCTGGCAAGCCTGAGTGCAGCTTTCCAAGAAAGAGAACAATTGGATGAATTATTGCTATTGACGCCAGTGTGTTGGTGTGCTAGGTCCTTCTGCCAGAGAGGGGGGGGGGCCTCTTTGAAAACGAGACAGTCTTACCAAAGGCAAGGATTTCTCAATCTGGGCAAAAGAAAATAAAATTAAAATATTGCTGAGAATCCTCAAATGTACACTTTCTTAGAATAAGTGACTCAAGTTTAGACTGGAATTTGAAGAAGTAACTTCCCATCTCGAGTGGGGAATAACATGCCCACCAAGTGGTCATCCTCACTATTGCCTGAGAACAGGCCCTTCACTGCCCCTGCAGGCTACGTATTTAGGTCCCAGTGGCTCAGGGTGACACAACATTCCCCTCTAGGCTCAACTCAACCTTGGCCTTTGTCTTCCTTTCCCACTTGGAGACACACAGAGGATGGCTGGTTCTATTGTTCTCAGATATTTGAAGACTGCTCTCATGTCTTCTCCAGGCTGATGGTCCCTGGTTCTCTCAAATATCCCTTGTACACAGTAGAATATGTCTTACCTTGTGCTAAATTCCTGAAACAGCCACATTTTTTAATAGTTCAAGCATTCTTTTAAAAATTATGTTGTTGCAATAACTGAAGAATATTTTGATATGCTGCGTGTGTAGCATGGCACCATTCAGCAAGCAGAGAACAGCCACATGTTGGTGTTAAAGTTCAAGACACGAACAGATCGGTACAGGTCATAACCGATAATCTCAGGGACATTGGGGAGATGTTGCCAGTGATGCACATTTTCAGTGGTTTCATTGAATGCTTGGGTAATAATTAATATTTTAAGTATACAATTGTAATTGAGCAAATATTAAGCATTTCTTTCATACAGTGAGAGGGACAACCACAAATGCAGTGAACAACCAGAAATTGGAGCTGGATCAAGTCTTTTTCCCCCCCTGTTCTTGCAACACTGTGTAGTGAAGATGTCTAAACCCCACAATTATCATTAATTCCAATCTCATTTATCGTAGGACATAATTCACGTTTCTTTAGCAGCATGACCCTTCATAGAATGGCAGCTATCCAACTGCTAATTCCCCCTGAAAGACTGGACCCAGAACTGGACACAATAATTTTAGGACAGTGCAAACATCACAGAATAGAATCAGATTATCACATCCCCATCCAGAAGCTATGTTTTCCTTTATACGTCCAAAGAATCATTTGCCCTTTTGACAGTAGTGCCCTATTGGCTCCATAATAGGAGTTTATCAAATAAAATTCCAGATTTTGTAGGTATTTTTGTGTCATTTTAACTTTTTGTTTTAAACTATAATACATGTGAAGAATTGTCCAAAACATAAATCTAAATAAATTTCCATGAGTCCATACTAATATAAATAAGTAGGGGGGAGGGGCGCAGAGAGAACTTTATAAAATTCCAACATGACAATCTTCTTCTCAGCCAGATTGGCTTGTTTACATTTAATGCAAATATTGATGTGTTTCATTTAAATCTGTCTGGCCTAATTTCTAAGTCTCTGATTCATTTCCATTTCATTTCTATGCAGCATGAGAGATAAGGGTCCAGTTTTCCCAGCACCATTTGTTAAAAAGGCTGTCTTCTCTTCAACATATATTTTTGGCACCTTTGTTAAGTATAGGGTGGCTGTAGGCATGTGGATTTTTCTCTGTGTCTGGTATTCTGTTCCACTGGTCTTCGGGTCTATTTGGTGCCAATACATAGGCTGGGTTTGTTGTACAATTCTGTAGTATGATTTCAGGTCAGTTATTGTGATGCCTCCTGCTTTGCTTTGCTTGCTTAGTATTGCTTTGGCTATTCTAGGTCTCTTATTCTTCTGAATGAATTTAAGAATTGCTTTTCTAGTTTTGTGAAGAATGTCATTAGTATTTTGATGGGGATGGCATTGAATCTGTATATTGCTTTTGGCACTATGGCCATATTGACTATATTAATTCTTTGGTAGTTGTTTTATTTCAGCATTTTGATGGCTTTGAGGAGATCTTTTTAAAAATGTTTTTTCAGGCTCTGTTCAATAAACTTTCAGCAAGAATGTTGATCCCAATTACCTTGTCTGCCATCCCCAGAAGCAAAGTTCTGAAGTCTTTTTTTAATATCTTGTGGTAAGGATCAACTCCCTCTATTCTTAAGACATTTTATTTGACTCAAAGTGGAAACCTTCTAGATTTCATTCTATTAAGACGAGGTCCACTGTTCTACCCTTTCAGCACCATGTCACTAGAACTAGAACTCTCAACCTTCTCTTCCATAGCATTTTCTATGTATTTAAGATACTTAATAAAACATTAGTCCACTGAATATCTATGAGAGTTCCTACTGTGTGCCAGGAACTACTCTAGTACTGAGAATATAGTGATGAATAAAATAGACAAGGTTCCTACACTCACAGAGCTTAAATTCT